AGCTTTTTTCCTCCTGCCTTCACAAACTTTACATAAGTATTTATCAACTGAAAATAGCAAGAGGACATTCATACTCTGCAATCAAAGACTTGATTGAATCCACCAAAAACCTGACATTACGATAACGAGTGTTTTTCAAAAACACAAATCCCTCCCTGTGTGTCTGTGAGCCGCAGCGACAGGGCCTGATTCAGAGCGGGTCATTCTGCTGTTGGGACTGGTGTTGGTGGAGAAAGCAGACTGGTTTGTGTGTGGTGTCGCTGTGCCGCTGTCACGTTTGTTCCTTGATCTCTGCGTCACCGACCAATTTTATATTCGTGTGACAGAAACAATTCTAAAATAAAAAAACGTTATTGTCGAGCCGCGGCCGAAAAATCAATAAGCAACCTTACTACTAATCGATAATCGAGTGGCGAGCTATTGAAAAGCTGGCAGCTTTTCAATAACTCGCCACTCGACGTGTTGGAGAGCCCTGCTCTAGAGACAAACCAGGGGACTTTACTTTTAATCTGTGTCTGTCCATTTGGTGTGGTGTTTTATCCAATATTGTACTTGGTTTATATATTAATCACTTTCTTATGAAATGCCAGGTTTTAGGCCTTGGTTTGAACTTTCAATCCTGGAAATAAAAAATCAACCAGATACATTTTTCTAGATAGTAAGTAAGTAAGTACATTTGATAGGAAGATGAGTTAAGGGATAGAGGGGGAAAAGGTTATGGTATAATTACAGAGCCTGTCAATTTATACATTGAGGAAATCAATGTATACATTCAAATCAATGTTAGTCTGTTAACCAAAGTGCAGCCATCTGAAAATGTACTGTCTATTATTAAAGATCAGAGGAAAATAACAGAACGAGAGGGGTAAATCCGGAATACAAATAAAGAAGCAAAGATATTGTAGAGCAGTGAGAAGGAAAAAAGCTTTGTGTGTCAATTCATTACATTGCCAGTATTTTTCGTTGTTGTGAGAAAAAAAAAATCGCCCCCTCGGATTTTTTAACAGCCCCCTCAGTCATTTCATCCTGGAGCCGGGCCTGGCCTGCCGTTTTGTCTGCAGACTTGTCAAGCATTAATTCATGGTTTTTACTAACCGGTATCAGTATGTTGTTACTTCGGCATCATTTAGAAACGTGTATTACAATTTAATCACGGTAAAATATGTTCATTTTGTTGTAGTTGTAGCTCCCGAGCCAGCGTGTCTTGTTTGAATGAGTAAACACAGCTGGCAGCCGCGGTGAAACTTGAGCGATTAGAGCAAAGCGAATATTCGCATCGCGTCCGCCGTCCGGTGTGAACGCACCATTAGACTAGAGCAGGGGTGGCCAACCTGCGGCTCTCGAGCCGCATGCGGCTCTTTGCCTAGTTTCATGCGGCTCTTCAGTTCATATTGAATTTTATATGTGTGAGTTTGGGGGAGAGACACTGACTCCTGACTAGTGGTGCACGGTGTACCGATACTTGAAAGGTATACCGCGATACCCTGCCGTTAAAAACGTTACGATTCCTCCGTTTAAGAATGACGGCGGAAAGTACTCCGGTGAGAAAGCGCCGTTTAAATAAGAGCTGTGTGTGTTCAGCGCTCTGCTTCCACTCCCTGCTCTGCAGCCGTGCCTACAGTCCCGCCCCTCTCAAGCACGCTCAAGTGCCTCCCCGCTCTCGTGCACGCGCTAGCTGCCAGAGCATGTGAGAAAACGAGAAGCATGGCTGCAAGTGGGAGTGCAACTGCCGCTGCCCCTCGGCTTGTTGACAAAAAAGACGCCAGAAGCTAAATGTGGAAGTATTTTAGCTATATCTCTGACAGTGAGGGCAAGCCTACGGACACCACGAGGCCTGTCTGTAAGAAATGTATTAATTTTATTTAATACGAATTCTTGTCATTTATTGTATTTATTGTTCTCATTGTTTAAAAGTTTGTGTTATGGTTCTGGTGTGAAATAAAGCACAATAATTACATTTAAGACTGTTTCCCTTTTTTTTAAGAAAAGTATCGAAAAATAATCGGAATCGCAATTCTTGACTTGGTATCGAAACCAAAATGTTGGTATCGTGACAACACTACTCCTGACAGTTAAACCTGATATTTAGTAGGTCTGTTAAGTATTGAATGCTGATAATTCTGACGTAATTTGGCCGGTCAAAGTTGTTTGGGCTCGGATAAAATTGCTCCGTTACTTTCGTTCCGTCTTACTTTCGTTCCGTGTTACTTTCGTCCCGTGTTACTTTCGTCCCGGCTCTCCCTACGTGTGTATGTGTGGTGTCAGTATGAGAGGATGACAGCGCGTCTAATTTTGATGTGGCCCAAGAGCCAATCACAATAATACCTGCGATGCAGTGAACCAATCACTTTTTGAGTGGGGGAAAACCTATGATTAAACACTACTATCCAGTGTTTCCCCTACCATTGTCTTGGAAGGGCGCTGCACCCCGCCAACGGAGCCCCGCGCCCCCCCCTGAAATTCAAGGTGTTTAAAAATATATATAATTTTTTTTTAAATATATCGCACCAAATTGCAAATAATCTATAACTACTGTCACTTTTCACATTGAACATGTGCTCTTTTATTAAATAAACTAAACGCTTTCATTTGAAGTTGTGAGTTTAGTGTTTTTGACCCTAAGAAACACTGATGCATTAATCAATAACAATAATCCACAGCTCCTCTCTCTGCTCCAGAGGATTTAAAAAATATATATCCCAATGCCACAAAAATGCACCAGTGACGTGGTTGAAATCTTGTCTCCAGAAAACAAAAAACTGAAACAAGCGGTATCAGTGACTGTGTGTTTGATGTGGCTCTTTGCAGTAACATAGAACAAATGTGGCTCTTAACCTCTGACTGGTTGGCCACCCCTGGACTAGAGCGATGCGATAGGAGCGATTAGAGCGAAGCGAATATTGAACGCAGCATTAGGATAATTTTCAGTCATGTTCTGGATACATACTAACATATAAGGGTATACTTAGTGTGGTTACTCCATGTTTACTAGCTATAACATTAACGTTACATCACTATTTTTCCCTTCTTACTCAGTCAGCCAGAGTGCAGATATCACCATTAGATTCACAAACCTGAAACATCATCCATTTCTTCACTGCTGGTGATGACATTGTTGTCAGCTGCTGATACTGCTGCTGCTGCAGCTTGTGGCTAATATCCATAACTTTATAGGCTATTAGCTTAAAACTCGTCAGGCACTAGGAAGGATCACTTCTTCTTCAGGGCAGGGAAGGCTACGCAGTACGCAGGCTAATGACCTGCAGCGGCTGCCTCTCTGGTGGACTCCGGTACTGCATATTACTCCAGAGACATTTTCAACAACATTTTTTATTTAAAAAAAAAATTGTTTAATTGAAACATCCGGGGCTTTTCAGAAAACATCCGGGGCTTGAGCCCAAGTAGCCACCCCCTAGCGCTGCCACTGCTGAGCAGTGCTCATCTTTAAAGTGTTATAGTCTTTATCTGCATGTACTGGACTAACAATACTAATACGCATGTGGCCACAGCCTTTGTGTTTTTTTTAAGCTACTATACTAGCAATGTAAGTAATATCAATTATTTGTCAAAGATATATCACTGAATATGTATACGTTTGTTAGATAAAGGGCTAGGCAGTATGGAGAAAATCAAACATCACAAAAATGTATAGTATTGTATACATATATTATACTACTTAAGATATTGTAGGGTTGGCTTTTAGTGCTTTCACAAAGCATTAGCACCTAATCAGCAAAAATCATCACCTATGTACACTACCAGTCATACGTTTGGACACACCTTCAAATTTGAAGTTTTTTATTTATTCAAATTTGTTCTACTTTGTAGATTAATGCTGATGAAAGAACACCTATGGAATTATCTAGTTAACAAAAAAATGTTAAACAATCCAGAATATGATTTTTATTTTAGATTCTTCAAAGTAGCCTCTTTTGCCTTGATGACAGCTTTGCACACTCTTGGCTTCTCTCAATCAGCTTCATGAGGTGTAACCTGGAATGGTTTTCAATTAACACGTGTGCCTTGTCAAGAGTCAATGTGTGGAATGACTTGCCTTCTTAATGTGTTTGAGACCATCAGTTGTGTTGTGCAGAGGTAGGGGTAGTGCACAGTGGAAAGCCCTATTTGACTACTGTTGTAATCCATATTATGGCAAGAACCACTCAACTCAGTAAAGAGAAACGACCGTCCATCATCACTTTAAGAAATGAAGGCCAGTCGATCCGGAAAATGTCAAGAACTTTTAATGTATCCTCAAGTGCAGTTGCAAAAACCATCAAACGCTATGATGAAACTGGCTCTCATGAGGACCCTCCCGGGAAAGGAAGTCTTGGACATTAGACAGTGGAAATCTGTACTTTGGTCCGATGAGTCCAAATTTGAGATTTTTGGTTCTAACCTCCGTGTCTTTGTGAGTCGCAGAGAAATTGAGCGGATAGTTTCTGCATGTGTGGTTCCCACCGTGAAGCATGGAGGAGGAGGTGTGATGGTGTGGGGGGGGGCTTCGCTGGTGACACTGTTGGTGATTTATTCAGAATTCAAGGCACACTTAACCAGCATGGCTACCATAGCATTCTGCAGTAGCAGCAAAATATAAATCATATTCTGGATTTTTTAACACTTTTTTGTTTACGAGATAATTCTATATGCGTTCTTTTATAGTTGTGATGTCTTCAGTATAAATCTACAAGGTAGAAACAATAAAATAAATTAAAAACTTCGAATTTGAAGGTGTGTCCAAACTTTTGACTGGTACTGTACATCTATATAATGACCATGTGGGCAAATAATATAAAAGCTACAACAGTTATTTCAGAAGAGTACATCCCTTCACTGTAATGCAGCATTTAAATCTAGGACAGCTCTGAGGTCAAGTGACCATATGCTTTGATCTGATGTTCAGATTTACAGCGATACCCTGAGCTGAGTCTTCTCTTGCATTTCAAACACACATTTATAGACCTGTGATGTTTTCTCCTCGTGTGACGTGTGGCCTTCAGGGCCCACTACCCAGGCACCACCACAGTGAAGGAGGCCCTGCAGACCCAGAAGAAGCTTTGGTCCTCGGAGGACTACAGCTCAGTGAATGACGAGGTGGGTGGGGGCTGCTGGGCCCGCATCCTCAACCAGAACTACGTCAATGGATTCATGACAGCGTGAGTGAATACACCAGCTTCACTTTGTGGTTTGTTATCAGCCTCATAATGTTCTTCCACTGTACAGAATTTAATTTGACCTTCTCTTTGTCTCATTCTATTCTACATGCGGTTAGTTTACTTACTCCAGCATTTAAACTTGCACCATTGCGTCAATTGCATTATTCTCTTCGACTATTTTATGTCTTTTTTTAATTGTATTGTTTTGTATTTTGCATTGTTGGAGTGTGGGACTTTAAATAATTTAGATGTACATTGCCAACCACCACACTGTACATATTGTGCACATGACATTAAAGCTTTTGAACCTGAAAGTTACATCTTAAATATTAGCATGTGGAGTTTCTCATTACTCAGAGGTGCCCAGTACGTCGACCGCGGGGGCAATGCTGGTAGATCGCGAGTCATTCATAACAAAAAAAATCCAGCCCCGTTAAAATAGACAAAACAGGTTTTGATCCCTCCTCCCTTGGCCTCCCTGCCACTTAATTCCAGGACGGTTTATTTGATCAGGGCCCGGTTTTTCTACGGGGGTCATAAGGGTGCCATTGCCCCCTCAGTTGAGTCGTTATGCACCCTCATTTGAAAATGAAAAGTGAAAAAAAAAAGTGAAACATATTACATATATTAATAATAATAATAAGAAGAAGAATTTAGTTGAAATAAAATAAATTGGAATTGTGGTTAAATAACATTGCTGCATTTATTTGGTCAATTTAAACGGTAAGTAACGTTATTATGTCAGGTGCGTGTGACCTGTGCCGCTGCGCGTTCGTCATCTGCAAGGTTCTTACAAAGCTATCAGTGTCAGTGATGGACATCAGAAAATTGTTAAAACAACCAGCCCTTATCGCCAGCAGTAACACTGCATCTACTGCAGGTAATAACAGTTCAGATCATGGGGACATTACGTTATCCGCGGCCACTGTCGTGGACAATAACGCCCGACTCGCCGGCTTTGCCCGCCTCGCCCACAGAGGCGGAGCAGCCGCAGCCGTCTTTGTTGCCCCAAACACCGCCACCCCTCACCGGCCCGCAAGTGCCAGAGGACCTCGGCAAAACAGAGCCTGCCCAGGTATATTTAAAAAAGTGCCCAACTCGCCTGTAGGCTACTCATTTTGCAGCTCATGGTTTCAAAACAGAGATTGGCTGGAATATTCATGTAAAAAAGATGCCATCTTCTGCTATGCATGTAGACATTTCGGTTCAAGTAAGTCAGATGCCTTCACCACAACTGGCTACAACAACTGGCGCCATGCTCTTATAGGCTATGTGATAAGGGACTGGGAAGGCATGAATCAAGCAAAGAGCACATAGATCCATAGATCTCTTCATTTTGCTCTCAAAGTGCACCAGATTGATGCTTTTAACTTCAATATTTTAAAAAAAATCTTCCCGGGGGAGCATACCCCCGGACCCTCCTAGAGGAGATGAGGACCCCCTAGAGGGTGTTAGGTCCACTTCCCACTTATAAAAATAGCACTTTACCACTGAACCCTCTCTAATCTCAGATGCACCCCGAGTCATTTTGTTCTGGAACCGGGCCTGACTTGATTGACAGAAAAAGACCTATCGCTTTCCAGTCTGTTAACCCAGAATGCAGAGCGATACAAAATCAGTCAAGTGCCGGGAAAACTCAAATTAAGTTAAAGAGACAAACAAGAGACAAACAACAAAATGAGTGCGGGACCGAGCAAGAAGCTAAAGACATACCACTTCCACCCAGAATGGGAGGAAGAATATTTTCTTGTGATGTCACATTCAAAGGTTATTTGCCTTATTTGTAAAGCAAGCGTCGCTCTGCCAAAGAAAGGTAACGTGGAGAGGCATTATCAGAGTGTTCACAAGGCATATGACAGCGACTTCCCTCCGAGTAGCGAGTTGAGAAAGAGAAAGGTCATGTATTATTGCTACACAAACATTATCTCGCAGTCTTAGTGTCGCCAACTCGTTTCTAACATGCAAAAAAGAAACAAAAAAAAGACATATCTATGCCCATAGTCTATGGTCGGTGTTTTTTCGACCTTTCCAATCCAGACGAGATCTCTCTCTCTCCCGTCTGTGTGCGAGGGGGCAGGGCAGTTTACACACGCGGCTGCTACATGCAGCAACACATGGCGGGGATGGCGGAGAGAAGCGCTCCAAGGTGTGGTTAAATGTTACCCGTCTTGAGGTGGACAATGCTCCTTGCCAAGAGTGTTTAGCATGTAAGGGCGGAAACACAAGCAATGTGTCTAAACATTTAGCAAAAGTGCACCACATTCAGACGGAGGAATGCATCGGGTTCGACTGTCTTTCTAGTAGCCCTGTAGCCCCATCCACGAGTAACGTTTCCACGTCAGGTGTTATGTATGCTAGCAGCAACACACGGAGTTAACTACATTATACAAACATGGGTTAATGATTTATTTATTTAGTTAAAGTTTCAGCTATTCTGTTTACAGTTCTGTCATCAGATTATTTAATACGATTTGTTAAAACATTGTTGTTTATTTTGATGTGAAATATTATTTATTTAATTTAAATAAAAAGCAATGTTAAATTTGTTCACAATTTGTTAAGTTAATTTAATAATATATGTATTTTTGAATCAAGTATTCATCTTTATTGTCTTCATTGTTAGTTTCCACATGCCTAAAACAACCTCAAGCTAAATCTAAAAGTTGATGGCTAAATAAGAGCGTTTGAGAAATTGTGCAAGGCATATAGTAATAGTCCGAATAGTCGATTAATCGATAGATTAATCGATTATCAAATTAGTCGTTGTAGTTATCCCATGTATAAATAAAACATGTTATTCAGCAACCCTTGCAATTTGGGATTTTATTTTTGGTTGTTAGACCTCAGTGAGCTGGTCATTTCAAAAGTAGCTCACCAGCCAAAAAAGTGTGGGCACCCCTGCTCTATCCCCACCCATTGTTAATAAACTAGAATGTTTACTACTTAGTTCATCAGTTAATTTTAAGCAAACATAATATTAAGTTGTAAAAGTGATTTTAAAGATCAGACACCTTGGTGAGGTTGGGACAGACAGCGTTGTCCAGCTGTGTCCAACTGTGTGTTGACGACTGTCTCCTTCAGCACCATCTCCTGGAACCTGGTGTCCAGCTACTACGAGGATCTGCCGTTCGGCCGGGACGGGCTGATGACGGCTGAGGAGCCGTGGAGCGGGCACTACGAGGTGGCACCCCCCATCTGGATCACAGGTACAACACATGGATTCACAAAGTTACAATTAGACACATTTTTGTTGCTTCCACCATGGAGGTGATGTTTTCAGCTGGGTCTGTCTGTCAGCAGGATGGCAGTAAAAAGCTAACATTAGGCCATAATCAAACAACATCAAGGTCACATGACTTGACGTCACTACCGCTGAGCTAAATGCGGCTAATGTTTGGTTTGATGATGTTTAGTTGTCTTATTTAGTCCCCTGTTAGTAACAGCTGTTTTTATGACACACGGTTGACTCACCAGTGGTGTATTTACTGACATGTTTTACGTCCTTAAACACATTTAAAAAAATCTCTTTAGCTTGTGTTACCACAAAATGTACAGTGGGGCAAAAAAGTATTTTGTCAGCCACCAATTGTGCAAGTTCTCCCACTTAAAAAGTTGAGAGCCTGTAATTTTCATCCTAGGTATACCTCAACTATGAGAGACAGAATGAGAAAAAAAAATCCAGAAAATCACGATTTTTTTTAAAGAATTTATTTGCAAATTATGGTGGAAAATAAGTATTTGGTCAATAACAAAAGTTGATCTCAATACTTTGTTATATACCCTTTGTTGGCAATGACAGAGGTCAAACGTTTTCTGTAAGTCTTCACAAGGTTGTCACACACTGTTGCTGGTATTTTGCAGATCTCCTTTAGAGCAGTGATGTTTTGGGGCTGTCGCTGGGCAACACAGACTTTCAACTCCCTCCAAAGATTTTCTATGGGGTTGAGATCTGGAGACTGGCTAGGCCACTCCAGGACCTTGAAATGCTTCTTACGAAGCCACTCCTTCGTTGCCCGGGCGGTGTGTTTGGGATCATTGTCATGCTGAAAGACCCAGCCATGTTTCATCTTCAATGCCCTTGCTGATGGAAGGAGGTTGTCACTCAAAATCTCACGATACATGGCCCCATTCATTCTTTCCTTTACACGGATCAGTCGTCCTGGTCCCTTTGCAGAAAAACAGCCCTAAAAGATGATGTTTCCACCCCCATGTTTCACAGTAGGTATGGTGTTCTTTGGATGCAACTCAGCATTCTTTCTCCTCCAAACACGTCTTGTTGAGTTTTTACCAAAAAGTTCTATTTTGGTTTCATCTGACCATATGACATTCTCCCAATCCTCTTCTGGATCATCTAAATGCTCTCTAGCAAACTTCAGACGGGCCTGGACCAGGGTTTCCGCTAGGATCTTTTCTCGCCGGTCAAATGTCCGGACAGAATTTATTTTACCGGACAAATTTGAAACTTACCGGTCATGTTTGAATAATGATAATAATAATTGTGTAGCAGAGTTTCCGTTAGCAGGTAATTACCGGACTATGACCGGATATGCTGATGTTTAAAACTCAGTTAATGGGAGTCATTTTTATATCGCTTCAGTTTATAATCGTAACAGATGGAAGAATTTAGATTCATTTTTCAATAAATGATTCCACAAACAACAAACAACATCATTATTACATTCAAACAAACTAATTGTAGTAGATGAAGTACATTATTCAAAAGTTTACATTAACTTTGAATAATAACACGGGAGAAACGGATCCTCTCTTTTCCCCTCTCCCTCTCTCCTGACAGCTCGTCAGTTTCTCATGCAGCGCGCTAAACAGTGGGCGGGGCTTCAGGTGATTATGCAGCAGCTGATCTGATCTCTCTCTCGGGTCCGGTTACACTTCACTCGCGTTTATGTCCATATCGATCAGATCCAGCTCTCCTGATCGGCCTTTATAGAGAGCACAGATCAAACTATTAAGAGTGAATATCGGCCGATAATGACTGGCGGCCGATCGATCGGAGCATCCCTAATTATTAGCGGACATTTTGACCAGCAGGTTTTGAATTTACCGGTTTTTATTACATTTTACCAGCTAAAAACCGGTAATTACCAGCTAACGGAAACCCTGGCCTGGACATGTACTGGCTTAAGCAGGGGGACACGTCTGGCACTGCAGGATTTGAGTCCCTGGCGGCGTAGTGTGTTACTGATGGTAGCCTTTGTTACTTTGGTCCCAGCTCTCTGCAGGTCATTGACTAGGTCCCCCCGTGTGGTTCTGGGATTTTTGCTCACCGTTCTTGTGATCATTTTGACCCCACGGGGTGAGATCTTGCGTGGAGCCCCAGATCGAGGGAGATTATCAGTGGTCTTGTATGTCTTCCATTTTCTAATAATTGCTCCCACAGTTGATTTCTTCACACCAAGCTGCTTACCTATTGCAGATTCAGTCTTCCCAGCCTGGTGCAGGTCTACAATTTTGTTTCTGGTGTCCTTTGACAGCTCTTTGGTCTTGGCCATAGTGGAGTTTGGAGTGTGACTGTTTGAGGTTGTGGACAGGTGTCTTTTATACTGATAACGAGTTCAAACAGGTGCCATTAATACAGTTAACGAGTGGAGGACAGAGGAGGCTCTTAAAGAAGAAGTTACAGATCTGTGAGAGCTAGAAATCTTGTTTGTTTGTAGGTGACCAAATACTTATTTTACCGAGGAATTGACCAATTAATTCATTAAAAATCCTACAATGGGACTTCCTACGGACAGCTGAGCAGCATGGTCGCTTGAACAGTGAGCTCCCTTATGCCAACAGAATAAACTCCGCCTAACTCGAAAATTAAAACATAAAACATCCTGGACAGTTGATAATGAGCGGAGGGTCAACAAAAGCAAGGAATAAGAAAAGCGAGAACCGTCAAGGTAAAGAAAAAACTAATATTAACAAAGAAAAGGACAGGCTAACTGCAGAAGCTAGCACAGCAATGGCTAAACCACAAGCTAATCTGGACAGCATTAGCAAGCAAATTGAAGCCATGCGGAGCGAGCTGAAAACCGACTTGACCATCTTTAAGGAGGACATCGCCACTCAAATAAAAAACGAGCTGACAGAATTCAAAGAAGACATTAACCAGAAACTGGTAAAAATACACACAGAAGTTGGACAGCAAAATGATAAAAATAGACGCCGTTGTGAATTTCACGGAGGAGTTTGAGCTCTGGAGTACCGAGGCAAAAAGCGATATGCAGGAAATAATAAAAGAACACAAGTTTATGACTGAAAAGCTGGATGATTTGGAATTGAGATCCAGACGGAACAATTTGAGAATATACGGCATACCAGAAGATGCAGAGCTGAAAAGTGACACGGTGGCGATGTTTGTGGATAAATGGCTGCGGGACGAGCTGTCAATAGAGACAGATCTCCAGATTCATCGAGCCCACAGAGCCCTGGCACCGAAACCAAAATCGGGACAACCTCCGAGGTCGATCATCCTGAACTTTCTGCAGTTCCATGTAAAAGAGATGGTCTTGAAGAGGGCTTGGGAAAAGAAAACTGTCAAACTCGGAGACAATAGGATATATTTTGACCACGACTACACCGCAAGGATACTGCTCCAACGCAAGGCATACGCGGGCGTTAAGAAGATCTTGAAGGGAGAAGGCATCGGTTTTCAGACACCTCTCCATAAGATGCGTATTCACTGGGCTAATGGAATGAAGACATATAACAGCGCAGAGGAAGCAGCCAGTAATATGTGGGGAAGAGGATATGAAGTAGAAGACACCACCGCGCGCCAGGCTCAAGTCCACGGCGATCGAGACTTGGACACGCGTCGGAAACAACAGAACCACGCAGACAGGCAAACGGGCGAGAGGACTGCTGCGAGAATTCGAACATTAAGAAAACAACGCAGAATGAAAGTCTTCTTCTTCAGCCTGACGCATAATGGAAAAAGATAAGAATATATCCTTGTAATGTTAATCAAAAAAATTAAGAACTGTTAGTTTTGAAATGAGAAGTGACATGAATACATATTGATATCTGGCATGTTGGCTTAAAAAGGGAATGAAACATAGCTGCCTATGTTATAAGCCTAGTATGGGCAGTTTAACTCAATTTGGGTTTTATCCTACTACTAACTGGGGGCCCTTCCCATATGGAAGACTTTTCCCCCTCAGAACAAGAGGTGAGTCAACATCTGAGGGTTGTTGACACCTCTATTTGGAGGTCGCCTTTTCTGTTTATAGTTACGTTTAGAAATGTTTTCTTGTTTTCAATGTTGTTAAGTGCCAATAGTTATATCACTGTTAACCTGAGTGGGAGACACTACAAAATGACTGAACCAAAATCAACCTATGACTAACAAACAAGACGGAATTAAGCTTATGTCCCTTAACGTTAATGGTTTGGGAAACCCGATAAAAAGAGCAAAAATTATAAAGAAAATCAAAAAAGAAAAGTCACAGATTACTTTCCTACAAGAAACCCACCTTTCACAGACGGAACATGACAAATTAAAACAATTTGGATTCAAAAACACCTTTTACAGCTCCCACACTAACGCACGTAAAAGAGGAGTAGCAATTTTAATTTCTAATGCAGTCAAATTTGAGTACCAAAAAGAAATAAAAGATAGAGAGGGACGATATATTATTGTGAAAGGGACAATTGACAAAACTAAAGTAACATTGGTGAACATATATGCACCACCTGAGAGTGATAAGTATTTATTTGGGGCCTTGCTTGATCTGATTGCAGTAGAAACAGAGGGAATATGTATAAGTGGGGGAGATCTCAATTTGATAATGGATTATGATCTGGACACAACAAACTGTAAGAGAATTAAAAAACCTATTACAAAGCTAGTGAAAAACACTTGGGAAGAAATGGGATTCTTTGATGTATGGAGGGACCTTAATCCAAAAAAAAAGGATTTCAGCTATTACTCGGCAGTATACTCACGGATAGATTACTTTTTTATGCAAAAGGAAAATAGGGATAAAATACAGGACTGTCAAATTGGAGTGGCTGACGTGTCTGATCATTGTGCAATCTACTTGAATATTAAACTGGGGTGCAGACGGAGAGACACATTATGGAGATTGAACGTGGGCATATTGAATAACAAATTGGTTGTTGAACAAATCAAAGATGAAATACAGAAATACTTAGAGGAAAACAATAACGACAACACAGACCCAGCCATATTATGGGATGC